TTTTCTTCTGCGGTCCGCACCTTACCTATGCGTTCCGCACTTTTCCTCTGCGGTACGCACACGAGGCTTTGCCTTAGCACACCAAAATGTGCCCCCGCATTTCCAAATGTTCCAGAACAACATTAGAGTGCCGAAATGCCTAGACTCGCTCAAAACTCACCCTGAAACACACTCAAGCCACTAGAAATTTCGTCTGAATGTACCAACAAGTCCTAAAATACGATACGAACTTAGTCGGGCCCTCAAATAATATCAAACAACATCAAAAACACGAATCGCAACCAACTTCTACGCTCGATGCTGAAACCTATCAAATCAAGTGCGATTGACCTCAAATTTTGCACACAAGTCATAAATGACATAACAGAGCTATTCCAATTTCCAGAATCGGATTTCGATTAAGATATCAAAAAGTCAACTCCCCGGTCAAACTTTCAAATTTAAATTTCTATTTTAGCCATTTCGAGCCTAATTTAACTACGGACTTTCAAATAATTTTTTGAACACGCTCCAAAATCCAAAATCTCCATACAGAGCTATTAGAATCATCAAAATGCTATTCTGGGGTCATTTACACATAAGTCAACATCCGGTCAACCTTTTCAACTTAAGCTTTAAATCTTGGAACTAAGTGTTCCAATTTATTTTGAAACCTCCCCGATAAGTCTCATAATTATACTTGAACACATAATAAGCAGTAAATGGGGAAACAGGGTTGTAATACTCAAAACGACCGGTCGGGTCGTTACATTCTCCCACTCTTAAACTAAACGTTTGTCCTCAAACGGGTTTAAAATTATACCTAGAGTCTCAAATAGGTGTGGATATTGCTCCGCATCTCCCGCTCAGTCGCCCAAGTAGCTTCTCCGGCTGGCTTGCCTCTCCACTGCACTTTCACTGAAGTTATGTCCTTTGACCTCAACTTTCGAACCCGTTAATCTAAAATAGCCACCGACTCCACATCATAAGTTAAATTACCATCCAATTGCACTGTGCTGAAATCCAAAACATGAGACGGATTCCCGATACACTTCCGGAGCATAGATACATGAAACACTAGATGAATACCCGATAGATTAGGCGGCAATGCAAGTTCATAAGTCACCTCTCCAATCTTCTTAAGCATTTCAAAAGGTCCAATATACCTAGAACTCAACTCGCCCTTCTTTTTGAACCTCAACACACCCTTCATGGGTGAAATCTTGGGCAGAACCTTCTCCCCAACCATGTAAGAAACATCATAGACCTTCCTTTTGGCATAACTCTTCTGTCTAGACTGCGCCATGCAAAGCCACTCCTGAATCAATTCAACCTTCTCCAAAGCATCCTGAACCAGGTCAGTACCTAATAGCCCAGCCTCACACGGCTAAAACCAACACACCGGAGATCGACACCGTCTCCCATATAAAGCCTTGTATGGAGCCATCTGAATGCTTGATTGATAGATGTTGTTGTAAGCAAACTCCGCAAGTGGCAAGAACTAATCCCAAACACCCCCAAAATCTATCACACACGCACGAAGCATATCCTCCAATATCTGAATAGTGCGCTCGGATGGCTTCATATAAGGCTTTATATGGGAGACGGTGTCGATCTCCGGTGGGTTGGTTTGAGACGTGTAAGGCTAGGTTATTAGGTACTGACTTGGTTCAGGATGCTTTGGAGAAGGTTGAATTGATTCAGGAGTCGCTTTGCATGGCGCAGTCTAGACAGAAGAGTTATGCCAAAAGGAAGGTTAGTGATGTTGCTTACATGGTTGGGGAGAAGGTTCTGCGCAAGATTTCACCCATGAAGGGTGTGTTGAGGTTCGAAAAGAAGAGTAAGTTGAGTCCTAGGTATATTGGCCTTTTGAAATACTTAAGAAGATTGGAGAGGTGGCTTATTAACTTGCTTTGCCACCTAGTCTATCGAGTATTCATCTAGTGTTTCATGTATCTATGCTTCGGAAGTACGTTGGAGATCCGTCTTATTTTTGGATTTCAGCACAATGCAGTTGGATTGTAATTTGACTTATGATGTGGAGCCGATGGCCATTTTAGACCGGAAAGTTCAAAAGTTGAGATCAAAGAACATAGCTTCAGTGAAAGTGCAGTGGAGAGGCCAGCCAGTCGGAGAAGCTACTTGGGAGACTGAGCGGGAGATGCAGAGCAAATATCCACACTTATTTGAGGCTCCAGGTATAATTCTAAACCCGTTCGAGGACAAATGTTTGTTTCAGAGGGGGAGAATGTATTGACCCGACCGGTCGTTTTGAGTATTATAACCCGACCCGATAGGTCATCTTTAAATTTAATAATTATTTCTTTGTTCTAAAATCTCAAATAGTACCTTACAGTATTCCTCGACTTGCGTGCATGTCTGTAACTTTTTTCGGAAAGTGTGTATGTAAAAAATTGATTAAAATGTGAAATAGAGCTTTAAAACTCAATTGAGTTGACTTTGGTCAACGTTTTGGGCAAATGGACTTAGATCAGTGTTTTCACAGTTCCGGTAGGTCCGTATCGTGATAATTTTTGTATGGTTGAACTCGTATCAGAACGGGTGTTCGAATTTCATAAGTTTTTCTGAGATTCGAGACTTGGGCCCCACTGTTGATTTTTTGAGATGAATTTCGGATTTTAATTCGAAAATTTAGTAATTTTATATGGAATTAATTCCTACGATTCGTGTTGAGTATATTGGATTATTTGTGACTAGATTTGTAGCTTTCGGACACCAATTCGCGAGGCAAAGATTTATTGGAATCTTGAATTTGGTTGCGAAACGAGGTAAGTGTCGTGGTTAACCTTGACTTGAGGGAATAAAACCCTTGAATTATTTGTTAAGTGAATTTCATGTGTAATGACGTATAGGAGAGGTGATGAGTGCCTATACGTCGTCAAATTGATTGTTTGCATATTTATCTGAAAATCATAAATTATTTTAAATCATGAATTAATTATTATATTAATTATTTCTCTCATATTCCTTGTCTAATATTATGTCTTGGATTCATGCTATAATTGCTACATGCTTATTTGAATTATGTGTTTTAATAGCTACTTGACATTTAGCATATTAAAATATTAAATTGCCTATTTTCTCCCTGATTTCCACAATTAATTGCTACTTGTCATTACTTTTTCCCTAAATAAATCATAATAATTGTATGCTTTGTTGCCTAATAATTTCTTATTAAATGTGATATTTATTAGAGTGTTTTTACATTTAAGAGTTGTTTAATTATATAGTTGGAGCGGGTTTCACGCCATAACAGATTTGTTTTAAGTTTATATTGTTGGAGCGGGTTGCACGCTGCAACAGATTTATTGAAAGTTTATAATGTTGGAGCGGGTTGCACGCCGCAACGAAATTAAATTGAAAGATTATATTGTTGGATTAGGTTGCACGCCGCAACGGATTTTGTTCTAAGTTTATATTGTTGGAGCGGGTTGCACGACGCAACGGAAATTAATTAAAGGTTTATGACTGCAGAATTGACTTCAATTATTGATATGATTTACTGGCCTTACTTCTATTCCTATTATTATTATTATTATTATTATTATTATTATTATTATTATTATTATTATTATTATTATTATTATTATTATTATTATTATTATTATTATTATTGCGTACAGGTTAATGTAAGCGACCTGCCTTAGCCTCGTCACTACTTCGTCGAGTTTAGGCTCGGCACTTACAGAGTACATGGGGTCAGTTGTACTCATACTACACTTTGTACTTCTTGTGCAGATACCAGAGTTGGTCCCAGCGGCGTACTGTAGATTTGCTCTGATTCAACTATCAAAGGAGACTTGAGGTATAGTTGCACATCGTTCGTAGCTCTGAAGTTTCCTTCTACTTTATCCTAGTTGTGTGCTTTCTTTCAGACAACTTTATTTCTATTCAGACCCTTATTTTTATTATTCTAGAAGCTCGTGCACTTCTGACTCCAGTTCTGGGATGGTATTTAGACATCGTTATCATTTTGGTTTGTTTACTTTAAATTCAGATATTATTCCGTTTGTTGGTTTCTTTATTATTTAATTAAAATTAATTGTTAAAAATAGTTTAAATTATTCTAGCGTTGGCTTGCCTAGCAAGTAAAATATTAGGCATCATCACGATCCCGAAGGTGGGAGTTTCGGGTCGTGACAAGTTTGTATCAAAGCACTAGGTTACTTAGGTCTCACGAGTCACGAGCAAGCTTAGTAGAGTCTGAAGAATCGGTACGGAGACATCTGTACTTATCTCCAAAGGCTATGAAGTTTAGGAACAATTTCACTTCTTTCTTATTTTTCGTGCGATTTTATTCTATCATCGATGATTGAACCATTCTATTCTTACTCTCTCGCAGATAGCGAGAACACGTAATACATCTACCGACGGACAGGGACCAGAGCCCCCTGTGGCAACTATGACCAGGGGTAGAGGACGAGGTCGCGCCAGAGGCCGAGGTAGAGGTAGAGCTCAGTCTAGAGCTCGATCCTGTTCCTCTAGATTCCAAGGTTCCTACAAATGAGTTGCACAAGCTTGAGCCTCAGTTTTATCAGCAGGCTGCTGGTCATCATGCTTGGCAAGAGGCCATGCTAAAAGAATTTCAAGTTCTTGAGGAAAATTAAACCGGGGATATTGTTCCTCTTCCCCCTCACAAAAAGGCCATCCCATACAAATGGGTTTACAAGATCAAACAAAGGTCCGATGGTTCGATTGAGAGGTACAAGGTCAGACTTGTTATTAGGGCTTATACTCAAAAAGAGGGCATAGATTACACTAGAACTTTCTCTCCAGTTGTCAAGCTTAATACTGTCAAGTGCCTTTTATCTATTGCCATCAAAAGACACTGGACTATTTTTAAATTGGATTTGAATAATGCTTTTCTTCATGGTGATCTCCATGAAGAAGTCTATATGAGAGTTTCCCCTAACCTTCAAGTGTCTTCTCTACCTGCCTCATTTGCTTCTCCTTTGGTTTGGAAGCTCAAGAAGTCATTTTAAGGCCTTAAACAGGCATCCATGCAGTGGTTTTCCAAGTTGTTTGAAGCCTTACTTTCCAGAGGCTACATATCTAGTAAAAATGATCACTTTTTATTTACCAAGTCTACTGGAAGCTCCCTGGTTGTTCTAGTTGTGTATGTTGATGATATCTTATTAGCTGGGGATAATTTGGTTGAGATGAATGGTCTGAAAAGTTTCTTGGATGCTCAATTTAAAATTAAGGATCTAGGTCTAGTTCACTATTTTTTGGGTCTAGAAATTTCTTCCCATCCAGCTAGTTATGTGATGCATCATCACAAATATACTTCAGACTTATTGGCAGAGTTCAAATGCTCTCACTTCACCCCTGTGGCTACTCCTTTAGACTCTTCCCTCAAATTATCTACTGATATGGGTGACCTACTGCCTGAACCTAGCACTTATAGGAGATTAATTGGCAAACCTAATTTCCTCCAACACGCAATATCTGATATCTCTTATTCTGTGCAACACCTCAGTTGGTTCTTACAGTCTCCAAGAATCCCTCACATGTTGGTTGGGCTTCATGTCTTGAGGTATCTCAGTTCTGCCCCTGCTCAGGGAATTCTTTTACCTGCTTGTCCTGATTTTTTCCTCATGGCTTACTCAATTTCAGACTCGGCTTCTTGTGCATTTTCTAGAAGATCTGTCACATGGTTTTATGTTACTCTTGGTGGCTGCCCTATCTCTTGGAAGAGCAAGAAATAACTTACTATTTCTTTATCCTCTGCTGAGGCAGAGTATAGAGTATTGAGACAGGTTGTGGCTGAGGTTTCTTGGCTTGTCAGGCTACTTGGTGATCTTGGCCTTCCTATTAACAGTCATGTTCCTGTCTTTTGTGATAGTCAGACTGCTTTGCACATTGCCAAAAATCCTGTGTTCCATGAACGTACCAAGTATATTGAAATTGACTTCCATTATGTATGCGACTATCTGAATTCTGATTTTATCACTCTTCAGCATGTTAGCAGCTCAGCTCAACTGGCAGACATCATGACCAAGGCTTTGCCTGGGCCTCTTCACCATTCTCTTTTGGGCAAGCTGGGAGTATTTTCACTCACCATCTTGGGGGGGAAGGGGGGAGGGGGGAGGAAGAGTTATCACTGGCCCATTATAAGACTCTACTCACGGCCCAAGTACTGAGAATACCCGGAAGCCCACGTAGTTTAAGTGGTCTTAGTTGATGTATTGCATTTTAGTCCTTGCAGTTTACATTTTAATTGTACATATATAAAGGAGTGGAAGACTCCAGAACACACGATACATATCATTTTATTCCTCTAAATGATAGAAATAAAGCGTTCTCCTTTCTCTCTCAATTGTACAATTTTAGGGTTTACTTCGATTTTGTTTCTCACAAACTCTAGGATTCTCAGTTTTAACAAGATTACTTCTCTAAGTCAAGGGCTTGAAGATTACTTCTCTGAGTCAAGGGCTTGACAAGAAATTACTTAATAAGAAAATTATTTTGATAAAGAAGTGACCGATTGTTCTTAAATGTAAATACTTTGGCTGTTTGTTTGATAATCCTTAAGTGGTTAAATGCTATAAAGTTATTATTAATTAATGCTACAGATTATTTTATAGCAAATGAATTCCCTTGCATGGAAACTCAGTTAGCTCATAGTGCCAGAAGCAATTAAAATTCTTGCTTGATTTAATTACTTCTTTATTATGCAACTATTGCACTTACTAAGATTCAGCTCAGATTAGTTATATGTGACCAGATACGACTTAGATAGCTAATCTTACTAAGTGTGAGATCCACGATATCTAGGGTTAGCTATCCCACACTTGACACATCTTCAGATTTTAATTCTTGAAAAATGCCCCATAATTTTATATATCCATTATTCAATTAGAGGCTCATGACTTTGTAGTGCGTTTAGCTTTATAGTTGTTTGTCATTTGATTCGGTATTCAATTTTCAAATAATTATATTTACAAACTCTATTAATAACTTTTGATTTGCTCTGTGCTTAAGTGATTATTAGCCAGCTAGAATAAAATTCACTCAGCAGGTAGTAAGGTTTAGTGTCAATCACATCATATTCCAGTTTGGGGGCATGACAGAATTCTCAATCTCCCAATTGTCCATTCATTTTCAAAAGAATCATGATCATAAGTTTGTTACCTTTTTTATGTTTATTATCCATTTTAGTAATGTTGAGAAATCACTTATTTTCAGAGGCCTAATGAGAAATAGTGGTTCGCAATTCGATTGCTAATTCAGGTTACCCTTCAACTTACTAGAGCCTACATCTACTTATTTCTAGGCAGCTCCGTTGTGGATAAATGGGAAACTCGACTCTAGGAATCCGAGAAAAGGTTGCATCAGAGGCGGCTCAACAAAGTAGGTGGCCTAAAGCCAAATCTTTATTTAATAAAATTCTCATATTTTTCTTTTTGAAGTGTAGTTTTTAGCTTTTTCCGGTGCAAAATTGCTAATTATTTTTTTATGATCAATTTTTATAGAGCAATTTTTTTTCCAATTAATAATGTAACCAATCCACTTAATAATCTTTATCGAAACTTTGTTTATTTTAAATAAGATTTTTTAATTATAATTTTGATCACGGCCTTCCAAAGCAACGATCATGTGCTAAATACTTATATTCTAATTTGGAGCTTTTTCATGAGCTAATTTACTGGAAACGTGTCTACAATAGCCTGAAAAGAAAACAATTATACAAAACTAAAGCTGTAAACAAAAGTGATTCAAATTAGAGTAAAATAAGTATAAAGAAGCTGCAGATTTAATTTGCCGACCACTTATATTCATAATTACATCAAGCACACATCTATTAAAAAATAACATAAAATATGTAACTATGTGACTAATGATTGTGTAAGTTGGCAGAAAATCAGTAAATCATCAAAGAAAAATTCTTATAATTAATCATAACTATTAGTAGTAATTATTTTATATTTATAGATAAAACATATGCTATAATTTATAAACATATAAAAAGAGAGTAAATTTTGGGGCCTCTATTTTTGGGGGCCTAAAGCTTTCGCTTTAGTCGCTTAGGGGTTGAGCCGGCACTGGGTTGCATAGTAGTAGTACGGGCATTGAGACTTGAGCTTTTTGTAGTACAGTCGAACTTCTATATAACAATCTGGTTTGTTTCGATATCGTTTGGCCGATATAATGAAGTGCTGTTATAGAGGACATATATTATAACATAACATAAAAATCGATGTAAAAATGGCGTGGGGTAGCCATTATTTAAGGTGGTATTTATTTTTTATCCAGCAATTCTAATGTTGAGCAAAAATAGCCACTACTCTATTAAAATTAATATAAAAAGATATTTTTACCCTTTCTTCCATTTCTTTTCTTCCCAAACCCTCCTTCTCTCTGGATTAAGGACAGTGAACGAAAATATAGTTGAAAATGGACATGACAATGTCCGTCGGCATGGTTCAGAGAATAGGAGAAGTGTTGGTCTTCTTGATGCTTGTCTAATACCAGGAGTGATTCCATTTGCACCATGTCTTTTCTTCTCAAAGTTGGTAGCATACACATTTTTTTACTGGTTGCCGTTTTACCTTAGTCAAACAGGTATACCAATAGAGAATTATACCAATAGAGAAACTTATACCATTGGAATTTGGAGGTACAAATTCAGATTGCGGCATTAGATGTGTCAAGAACAATTGGTTCTGAACTTAGAGTAGGAAGTTTAAAAATTAAGGACACTTGGTCCTTAACTTAGAGTTGCAAGAACAGAAATTAAGGACAGACAGTCCTTAACTTAGAGTTACAAGCACAGAAATTAAGGACATGTAGTCCTGAACTTCGAGTTCCATATTCAAAAGTTTAGGACATGTAGTCCTGAACTTAGAGTTACAAGTTCAAAAGTTAAGGACAAGTAGTCCTAAACTTAGAGTTACAAGTTCAAAAACTAAGGACAAGTAGTCATTAACTTAGACTTACAAGCTCATAAATTAAGTACAGCTAGTTCTGAACTTACAGTAACAAGCTCACAAGTTAAGGACACTTGGTCCTGAACTTATAATTGGAAGTTCAAAAATTAAGGACACTTCGTCATTAACTTAGAGTTACAAGCATAAAAATTAAGGATNCCTCTCCGCCCACCACCACGTCGTTCGGCACCCTCGCCTCGTCGGGCACCACCACCTCGTCGGGCACCACCACCTCGTGCCACACCAGGACCTCACTCGTTCTGATCTGGCTCCACATAATCAGGCATGTGATCCAAACGTTGATCCTCCCGGGCTCGCTGCAGTGTCCGGGAAGCCAACTCTACAAATCGACGGCTATAATCCTGCAAGGTATCCGCAGCATCTCCGATATAATCCTGCATCTGCAGTCCCATCTGGTAGACTGTGTGTAGTCCAATAGCCTGCACAACATATAAAATATAAACTACGTATATTGCACTAAAATACTATTATATGATGAATAATAATAGAAAATATACCAGGGCCTAGTGTCGCCTGGCGTATTGAACGCACCGACCGCCAGCCTGATAAATAGGGTTCCCGATAAAAAGTCGGGTGACGTGCCGGTACCAGGACATATACCTCTGAATATCTACCTCCTAGTCCCAAGTATGTGGGGGCGGAATCATCTCCTCTCGATGGTCCCAACTCTGGATCTGCCCGGCTAACCATGCTATAAATGCGTCGTTCGCCCGGCTATGATCATCCCTCTGATAATGCGTAGGCTCCCATATAGGCCCCCTCGGTATATACTGTGGGCGGCCAAACTGCCAAAGTACCCGCTCTGAGGCATGATGCTCCACAATATCAAGGCATATGAGTGGGGCAGAAGTGCTCCAAATATGTCGACCAGCCGAGCAATAAGGTGGCAGGGAAGCTATCAAATCCTCACTGTATGACGTCCAGATGAACTATCAAATAAGAACATGAAACGTGAGTATGCGCAACACTAAGTTAATCCACACAAGGTAAGTTTAGGTACATATTTACCTATGCGCCCTCCAGCAGATCCAACACATCCCTACAGAGGGGGAGATTATGATGAGCATCATACTCTCGTAATAGTCTACGGCGGAGAACCCACCTCCTGGCTAGAGGGAGAAACGGAGGTGCTATAGCAGGAGGTAATTGTGGTCGCGGTGGTTGAAACTGCAAGAACCACTCCCAGGCCCAATCCTAACATACAAAGTTGACGTAATGGTTAAGATAAAGTCTAACTAGGTAGAGTTGGAAATGATGAACACTTTATTGGAATATGTTGTCACCTGTAGAAGCGGCATAAAACCACAAACATCTCTCTGAGTGGCCATGCTCGCCCGACATATCTGCCTATACATGTAGCCGAGAACAGCAGCACCCCAGCTGTAATAGGATAATTTATCCAGCAGCTGAAGATGATGCAAAAATTTAAGGCTGACGAGGTTTCCCGAAGTATTAGGGAACAAGACCCCTCCAAATAGAAGAAGCAACAACAACCTCATATAATGGGTAATGTGCTCCTCCTCTGTATCGTCAGTGATATCGGGGTGGAGTAGCTCCAGGTGCTGTCTAATAGGGGTCAAAGCCAACCGACTAGCACCAGACGATGTAGCCTCGTCCTGAGGCCTGAAACCTGTGAGCTGATGCAGCATGTCCAAATAATGATCACGCGACATATATCTCATAGCAATAGGCAGTGAAACGGCAATGCCATCAACGGGCAGGCCATATAAAACCTCAACGTCCTGTAGCGTGACGGTAGCCTCGCCAATGGGCAAATGAAAAGTATGCATCTCCGGTCGCCACAGCTTAATCAACGCCGTAATCAACGCCCAGTCAACCTGTATCCGGCTGCTCTCAATAATCCTATAAAATCCCGTGGCCTGGAGACGATGGACTACACGCTCGTGGAGAACTCTGTCATGAAGAAAATCTCATAGGTCGTCCACTTTCCTAGCGTTGAGAGTCTGGGAAAGTAACTCTCCATCCCATATATGGGCGGACCTATGATCGCCCTGAAGCACTAATAGCTCACGAGAGTAAGGGCCGAGATGTATAGGCGCGTCCATGCCGTCAACTGTAAATTAAACAACTTTAATTGTATGTTAATTATTAAATTGTACAAAGGATATGTAACAATTTGGGCTCAGGCTCGATATTTTAGGCCGAGTAGCACCAAATTTTCATGAATATTT